ATAATAATGAATTGATAATAATAATAATAAAAAAAAAATTATTAATGATGATGATAATAATAATAATAATAAAAATAATAATGAATTGATAATATAGTAAAATAATAATGATGATGTGATCTAATGATAATAATAAGACAATCATGAATTCATAATTATAATAAAATAATAATAAATTATTAATAATAATAAAATTAATAATAATAATAATTTTTAAATATTTGTCTTTGTTTGACTATGTTGTTTATAATTAATGGTGTAGGCTACATTATAGTACAGATTTATAACAAATTATATTTGTCACACAATTTATTGCAATTTTAAGTTGACAAGTTGTAGTTCACTTGTAAAATTATTTTCCATTGTACCTTTTATTTACTTTACACAACCTAAAAAAGATAAATATTTTAATATAATAAATGAATAGCTTATTTATTAAATTATTATTAACCTCTTAATGATTTAGGCATAGTGAACACCAATCCAAATATAAAACTTTAAATTTGAAAGTATATCATTTATATTTATTTTTTCTTATAGTTTGACCATATATCTACACATAATTAAACTTAAAACTTTAATTTAGAGGTTAAAAGTTTTCCATTTCTTTAGGTTTTCTTATAATCTTATGCTATATGATAGGTACTCATTCCCCTAAACTAGTAATAAAAGTGAACACGCTTCTTAAATTTTTAGTGTTAAACACTGTTGATAATATTTACACAAAATCATGCATTCAACGTTTAACTTTTATTTCAAAGAAAAATCATTCAAGACAGTTTTCTCTTGCTTTAGTTTATAATACCCAACTTTGGTTGAATTGCAAGTGACCAATTTTATGTAAACTCATATAGGGAGACGTTTGACATTAAAATGTTAATATAAATCGTCTTACTTTAATTTCGGTGTTGAAAACAATATTTCATGTGAAAAAGACACCCTATTTATTTAAAATAACATGTTATTGATATTAAAAAGACATTGTGCCTATTTTGTCATGTTCAATTTAGCTGAATTGACTTTATGTTTTCAAATAATGACAAAATGAAAAAATTTTATTGACCCTTACAGCTTGAATATTTTAAAATGTTTATATAAAATTATAAGTATGCCCTAAAATTTAAAAAGACTTTCCCAAACTTATATAAAATTGAACATTTTGGGTAATTCCAATTGCATTAATTTATCGATTCATAAAAAGAAAATAAATTATTTGAAAAATTTATTGCAAAAATGTAAACTTTATTGACTCACCTTTCACTCATTATAAATTAAAGCCCTTGAGGGGCTTTCGTTATTAAAAAATATCTTTTTACATATTTTAATACTGTTTAAATTCTTTTTGTTTATGTCATTAAAATTTTTAATGTACAAATTTTTTCATAATTTTAATAAATATTATGCCCATTTCAAGTCCATCCCATATTATATAATTTTTTACTTAAAAGATTCCTTTTTTATTTTTCTGGAAAAAAATTTTAACTTTGTCTTTTTCTTTTGGGATTTTTTTATTAAAAAAACATTTTAAGGCACATAAAAACATTTAAAATTTTTACAATTTAAAAAAAATGAGCAAATATTTTGCAATGTTTTCAGGGTTTCACTTTTTCAAAATTTTAAAATTTACCAAAATTTAACTTTTTTTTCACACACAATTTAAAACAAAATTTAATTTGAAACACAAACTTTCTATCCCAATAATTAATGAATGGGGTTTTCAATTAAAATAAAATAAAAAATACGTTAGTATTATTATAATCAATGTTTATTTAAGTCTATTAATTGGTGAATTGACTAAAAACCAATACAGAATCTGACAGTATAAAGCTGGATGCTGCAAATTGACCAGTGAAAGAATATTTTGTTAAATTGCTTATAACACTGGCAGTAGAATTTATGTCCAAACAAAAAGCTTTAAACCATTATTCTTGAAGTTTTTGGGAATTAGTATGTTTTTGGCCAATAAAGATATTTTATTAGTAAATATTCCATGAAATCTATTATTGTTTCAAATCTTTTTTACAGCTCAGTTAAGTATAATTAGTATAAGTCACTATTTTGAATAAGCGCTTCACATGTAGTTGTAAGAAAGACAGTCCAGGACTGACCAGGATGGGTGGTGTGAAATGCTGCAAATTGAAAAATATAGCTTCGAACCTATGTATCAAATTGTGGGCAACATATGTACAATTGTGGGGTAAAAAATTAGGACAATTTCTAACACGTTAATATTGCATGCATACTAAAATGTAATACAAGTGTTCCTGCCTTGTCGACAATAGTGCATTAAACTTGTTGCTAGTTTTTTTACCGCATGGAGTGTAATAGTTTACTCCATGCGATTTAAAAACAAATTGAAAATGTTGTTGAATTGGATTCCGAACCTGGAGTGCAATGTGCATCTCAGAGTCATGCAGAGTTGCATAACCCTCGCCACTTGCGCCTCCAACCTTTCAGAACCATTACTTGAAAATTGGTTAAAAAAAACGTCGGGGTTCAATGGAGTTCAATTATTTTAAGTATGCTTGAAAAAATGTGCAGCGAGTTTTGCATTACCTTTAAACTAAATATGTATATATTATATAATAATTAATCAATTTTTTATTTTTTGTGGGAAATGAAGGTTATTGAATTAAAAGCATATACCAAATATTAAAACATGTTTCAATGAAAAATACTGCAGTTTACATGGTTTTGGGGGATGGGAGGGTTGTGGGGTGGGTGGCCGATCAGCGCGCCGAACACCTATGGCATAGAGTGGTTCAGGAAATGTATATATGAAAAGTTGATGTGTTGATGAATAATTTATAGTTCAGTTGATTGAATGCACTTATTGTATTACATGTTATCTAGCACATATTTGAAGCAGTTTGAACGTTATTGCTAAATTAATATCTCGAAAAAAATGCACCGTCAAATGTATATACATTTAGCTAGCACATATTTGGAGCAGTTTTAAATTGAATGCTTATGCTAAATTCATGTCAGGAGAAATGACACTGAACTCGAGATCTGGTGGTTACTACCCAAATTATTGTGTTTCAGATAATGTCATATTTGATTTTAATGAGCACTAGTATATGCATATTTGTTGGAATGCTGCTTTATTTGCCTAAGTTGAATTACCTGCATGGCAGTGTTGTATTATAAATCATAGAATGGCTGGGCACGACTAATTTTTTTCAAGTATTCAATTCGCCGGAGCCAATAATAGTATGATATTGGCGAAGCCAATATTATATGTTATTGGCGGAGCCTTCGACTGGAAAACGGGAAATCTCCCGTTCACCATCCGAAGTCTAGTGGCGGCCGGCGAATAGAAATTTTGTGATACTGGCGATACTGGTTTCTGCTTCCCAGAACCAATTTCGCGCAACAGTGTCAATGCTGTGTTGTTGCTCATATACATTTGTGAAACATTGACTATTTTGTGAATGAAGAATTGAAAGACTAGTATTGCTTTGATCAATTATTTTCTAGAACATACTGTTCCAAAAAGCTATACAGTTTGTTCCATTTGCTTGTTTTGATTTTGTGTCATTTGTTTGCTTTGCTATGGATGCCCTAACAGGGTTTTGTATGCCCGGTATCCAAACCTTTTGGCTTTTATTAATGGAGTCGTGCCCATAAAATGCCAAAGATAAACTAAGACATTACTCGGTGAGATAAATTACATATGCCACTATGTATGACTATAAAATAAAATTAGTTAAAGTATGATATTGTTTTGTTGTTGTCCCAAATAATGATGACTATTTCTATAGAATAGTCTCTGTTATTTGGGAACAACTTATACCTGCCCTGGTTATGACGTAGGTACTGTATCTACGTCATATCCTTTTAACGCTGGCGTCGAATATTGTAACAAGGAAGAAATGAATTGTTGAAAAAACCCACCCGCCCTCCACTGTCAATTATGAGTGAAGTGTGAAAGACTTGAGCTTAAATTTAATATTTAGTATCCTGCTTTTTTGTTGTTTCTGTCCTCTTTTGATATGTTTTCAGATTAGCAACGTAAGCGACGTGTTTCAAGACAGCTAGCCCTACTAAATACTACGGAAGAGGTATCTTTTAGGAAACTGCTTGGGCCAAAACCACCAGCAGAGAGAATTCGACAACGGTGCGACTCCAGAGATGTGTTCTATGAACTTTCAAATACTAGGTCTGCTAAATTTGCATTTTGCGGCCGGCGAAACATTTTGTGATATGGGGATACTGGGGTTTTTGCTTCCCCAAAACCCAATTTTGCGCAAAGTTAATCGTTTGTTTCTCATATCATTGTAAACTGACTATTTGTAAAGAAGAATTTAAAACCCATATTTTTTGATCAATTATTTTTTAGAACAACTTTTCCAAAAACAACAGTTTGTTCCCTTTTTTTTTTGATTTTGTTCATTTTTTTGCTTTGCTATGGACCCTAAAAGGGTTTTGTTGCCCCTATCCAAATTTGGGTTTTTTTTAATGGATCGTCCCAAAAATCCAAAAAACTAAAATTACTCTGAATAATTACATATCACATTATGACTATAAAATAAAATTTGTTTAAAGTAAATTTTTTTTTGTTTGTCCCAAATAAAAAAGAATTTCCAAATTTTGTCTTTCCTTAAACTACTTATTTTTATTTATTTTTTTTTGCAATTTGTAATGTTAATTATTAATTTTATTCCAAAATAAGTATGTTTATTTGTAACTATTAGTTTTATAATTCAATAATTGTCTTATTAATATGGCTTATTATTATAATAATGTAAGTTTCTTACAGCAATGAAAATAAAATCAGGATCATTTTTTTAATGAGGTAAAAGTTGTAGAATATTTTTGAAAGACATGTGCGTTATACTGTTGAAAAAAAATACAGAATTGAAGTTATTAGTATGCCATACCTGATGAAAATGTATTAATAACTGCGCCACATTTCTTTTCATATTATGATAAACTTTATTTTGTAAATGTATCAACATAACTTTTCTCACTCAAAACATGAACAGAGCATCACTTACTGGTATCATGTCGCCATATTCAACATCGTAATATTTAAAGCCGGACAGGACAATCAATGTCTGGTCAGCACACAGGTATGTGTTATAAAGATGACACTCTCCGTTACCAAAATTAAACGATGAACAGTTTCTCCTCGAACACTCGGACAAACACTTAATCCTACTGTTGACTGGAATCTGTAAGAAAGCCGTACCGGAAATGATTCTGTTGAGGAGAGGAACAGCGCGTGCAACTCCCACAACCACTTCCGCTGTTTCAACATGGCGCAAATAACGCGCAGCCATGAGCACACATATCGTGATTACAAAATCAAAAACATTAACATGCATATTCGCTTTTACTTTCAGACGCTAATTTTCAATTATGTTCATTTTTATTCCTTGTGAACACATCGTTTTAAATTTCTAAATTCCAAGAATTTTGTTTATTTTTAATTTTGTATGATTACAAATCTGATTAAATGTAAGATTTAATTTATTAAAGTGCATATCCGTGTTTCATCTCTACAAGAGATGTATATAGTTTGCATCAGTCGACCAAAACCTCCGTAAACATATTAGATCATTTATTACCTGCTAACACGACATGGCATCAGTTAAGGCCGTATCAGGAAAATTGTTGGGTTTCAGCAAATAGTAAAGGTGAAAAAAGGAAAACTTATTTATAACGATAAAGCTGGCTATAAATAAGTAAATGATAAAGAAGATCTTGAAAAATTTGTAGATTAACTATAAATAAAAATATTTTGAACCATACCATTTTTAATGAGATGATGTTATAAAGGCTTATTGTAATTGTACATCTATTTTCCTCGTTTATCGTACATTTCATTGTTTATATGTTTGAATATTATTAAAGAACATAGTGAAAATACCAGAATTCTTTTCTTTTTAATTAACCAAGCTGAAAAAGCAGCTCAAGTATGTGCATTGGAAAAAAGAAAACACGAAAATTTTAAGGATTATTGCAAGATTTATTAAGGAAAAATCGAGCGTTTATATCTAAATTAACAATTAAACATGAATTGGTATTAACTGAATTATTTTAGGGAACGAAAGAAGTAAATAATATTTCAACAAAACAATTCCTTTACTAAATAATAATTGAGCCGCGTCACGACAAAACCAACATAATGAGTTTGCGACCAGCATGGATCCCGACCAGCCTGCGCATCCGCGCAGTCTGATCAGGATCCATGCTGTTCGCTAACAAACCCTATAGCAAGTATAGAAGCTAATAGCGAACAGCATGGATCCTGATCAGACTGCGCGGATGCGCAGGCTAGTCTGGATCCATGCTGGTCGCAAACCCATTATGTTGGTTTTGTCATGGCGCGGCTCAATTATGATATATGATTGGGTGGATTGTTCCTTGTAAATCTGCAACCATTATTAAATGTGATTTTTGCTGGAATTATAACTTCATAGGATTATGATTATATTAATGAGAAATCATTTGTAAAAAGGGTTGATAGTGAATTTATTTCAATTTTTTTTATAAATTCTTAGCAAGAAAGGTAGTTTCTAATGAGTCATTGTGAGAGAGGGGTTGTGAAAATTTCGGACAAACTACCCTCACGCCTTTTGATGCAAGTTCCACAAAGTATTTTGGATTGCTTATTAAAAAAATGTTTCGTTTTGTTTATTAATAAGTTCATTCTGCACATATACAGATACAAAGATCAACAGCTACTTAATAAACTAAAAAATGAGTCGGCTTACTTGAGTAAAAACTTTCGTTTTGGTTTAGTTTTGAGTCCATGAACAAATTCATTGTTCAGTGTTTTAAAAAAAAGTTGCTAAATTATAAAAGAAGTCAATTTCAATACGAATATATAAGACTTTTATTAATTCAGTTTAACTTAACTTACACTAGGTAAAAACAGTGGTTTTGACGTTGTTGTTGTTGTTTTTATTTTTATGTTTGTTTGTTTGTTTGTTTTCGTTTGTTCTTTTTTGTATCTTATTTTTTACAAATTTTACTAATTAACGATCCCTTCTTCTGCCAATAATAAAGAGCTGGAATCCTTATGGTACACAAAGCCTTTTAAAACATTACAAATATAATTGATATAAACAGCTATAAGTTTTCTAATAGAATGAAACATCAATATTTTTAATCAATGAAATCATGCAGATATACATAAAGAGTGTTCTGTATTGGCAGCTTCCGTAAAACTCTTTCTGTTTTCTTAATCAGTCTTGAACTTCATGGGAATTTCAGTTTAGATTTTGATATAAACAGAGTTGAGATCATTTAAAAAGCGAATGATCGGCTGCGATATAAAGTAACGTTTATCTTTTTTTTATTAGATTATTTATTACCAGTTACATTAACCAAGGCCATCCATCTGACACAACGGTGAAGCAAAATGGCGTGCAGTCCTTTTGTTCTGGCGTGTTACGGAAAACGAGCAATTAATATCTTGATAACTTCAGATGAATTATGATATATGAAATATGAATGTGTATAAATTATTTACAATTCCTGACACGAGAGATTGAAGTGGAAATGACTTTATATCTTTTACTCAGTCAACAGCAAAATAGTTCCTGATTATATTTTTCAGTATTTAACTATTTTAATTAATTGTTTGTGCATTTCTTATGTATTTCTGCAAAGACAATTTCGTCAAATGCTATGTCCTTCCGTGTGTATATACTGCCATACAATTCAACATATCCCTCTGAAACAGACATTTCCTTGGCCTTACAATTTAAAGATTTTCTATTCAATACCGTCATAAAAGTTCATTCTGGTGAAAATAATGCGCTGTCTTTTAATTCGTTAGTATCGAAGTAAATATAGATATAATTACTTTCATAAACGTAATAAAGAAGTGAAAAGAAATGTAATTAAAAGAGTACAATGAAATATTATTGGGAGAAAAAGTTTGTGCGTAGCTTCCTATAGTCAAAGTTTCTGCTCATCACCTCTCCTTTTATGACATAGAAATTGAAATAACGGGATATATAAAAGAGCGTTGTTTGCTGCTCTTTTTCCCGTTTGTACCGTTACAATAAACCTTCCGGATATAACTTGCGTCAAGGTAACAGAGTTAGCTCACACTACAGGAATTTAATTGAAAATGGTTGTAAGCTTGGAGGAGTGTGTAATTGATTTTGTTAATGACTTTTTCCAAGAGCTGGCGCAATGATACGATACATATGAATATGTTATATTGTGTTATATATGACCTTAATCAATTACCAAGTAGCAAGTAAATTAAATTTTCTTTCACCCTGTCCGTTAGAAAAGTCATATTTATATCACGCGTAACCAATAAGTCTTAATAATTCACTTTTTGTGTCTAATAAAACTTGATTTTTTTTAAAGATCGAAGCGATTGTAACTATATATTTCAAAACATTACATAGTATTGCAGTGAAATTTTAACTAACGCCGTTTTAATTGACTGTGAAGAGGTTCAAATAAAAGAATACAAATTCTCAGACAATGTGGTCTTGTTAAATGTACTTTCCGGAAAACAGAGTAAATCGCAGTTTTTTTTAGACAGCCACGGTTTATATAAAAGAGCGGATTTATATAGCGGACAATAATGGTATAGTCTTCGTAATTATGTTATGATTCACCATATCTTGATTCAGTATAGACTGATAGACAGTGACATATGATAATAATTCATTTAAAAACATAGACATAATATTTTCTTAAGAATGTACGTAATTCTTTTTTCACTAATTTTGATTAAATTGACAACTTCTCGAAATTTAACTTATCTATGTCAACAGTTGAGATAAGTATTTGAAACATGTAACAACAGGGTGTGTAGATTTATGAACATTTTTTTCCCTGAAACCAGCAGCGTATATGTGTAAAGTTTATTTACTTATGCATGCTGGCGACATTGTTATTTATGCAACTTAAGCAAGATAATTATGCCGACTGCCCCAAAGCAGTTCATGAACACTGTCAGTTATGGCATATGGATGTTAATGCGTATATTTTTCAGCCAGCCTGAAAGCTCTGTGACAAGCCAGGGTTAACCATTATCAATAGGGCATCAAATATGATTTCAATGTCAATTTTATTTAAAGCCAGTAATTTAATTTTAATGGCAAAGCTTTTTAAAGCTAAACATTGAATTTTTTAAAGCCAGAAAAAAAAACTTAATTTAATTACAATGAAATTTTTAAAGCCATATCAACTAAATCTAATTTCTAATAGCAAAATACTTTTTAAAATGTTTTATATTTTGGAATACAGTTGTATTTGGTGCACGGTATGATTATTCCTATACTATTATACGGTTGTGATGTCTGGGGTCTGTGTCGATATTTCTATTATTTTCAGTTTCAACTTTTATAAGATGGTATTGAATCTTAAATCAAGTACCAGTACTGTAACAGTATTGGTTAAACTGATTGCTATTCCAAATAGACAGAAAAAAAATCATTCAAGAATGTTAAATGTCTTTCAGTAAATATATTTTTCTCGATGTAATAATCTTTACATTATATCAAATGAATAGCTTTGATGGTTTCGGATAAAATGGACCATTTCTTAATCCCAATTACAGTGACCATTGTGACCTTGACGTTTGACCTTGTGACCTTGACGTTTGACCTTTTTACCTTAAAATGAGTTTTACAAAAATATCTTACCAAGGTTTATCTACATATTGGTTTTGGTTAGTATTGAAGTAAATGCCTATAATCTGAAACCAAATAGGTTTATTGGAGCTTACGTATCTTGGCAACTGCTCCGCTTTTCCTTAGAAAAGTCACTTGTTGAGATGAAATTCACGCTCATGTAGTTTGATTTATTTTTTGTTTTTGTTTAAATTGTTTGTTACTATTATGCCATTGTATGACATTTTGTTTTTCAATAAACGGCGTAAAACTCGATACTGTATGTCTTCGGTCTCATAAAAGAGTTAATATATCTGTCTTACATTAGGCCCTATATGATCGATACATGGACAAATTCGAACATAATAAAGAGCTTACTTTTGAGACAAGTTATTTTTGTCGGTCAGGATTCTTAATTAATCGCATTGGTAAAAAGCCAATATCACCGTGACCTCGTGACTTTTTGAGTCCAACCGACCTGTGTCCTTTATCATTTAATATTTCCTGTAAATTGTCGCCTTCTTACATTTTTTTTTTCATTTATGTTCTATAAGTGTGCATTGATTCAATGAAGACATTTCATGCTCTATTTCCGAAGCCGTAGGTTATAAGTAGGCGTTTTTATTGTGTATGAGATTTATGATATCAATGCTGTAGGAAAATCTACCAATGGACAGACATGTTTTGGCTACAAACCACCATAGTGACTAAATGTAGAGATGTAAGGTGCACCACTCAAGCAGTACTTTGATTGTATTTTGGTTTATACAGAATTTATTTTAGTTCGATTGTGTAGGAAGCTATTAGCTTATAAACACACTTTCGAATTCGTTCCTGGAACCAACCAGTACTGAGCAATGAGTGTAAAGTTTCTTGCTCAAGGAAACAACGACTTGCCCCTGTCAGGTTTTGAACCCATGCGGCTAGCGATCATAAGATTACTAG